GCCAAATTAGGGGGAAGAATAGATGGAGAAGAACATAGAATTGGAAAGTATGGATATGGCGAAAGAAATAATAGAGGACACACATTAATGGACTACTTGGAGGAGAGACAACTTTTTGCTATGAACTCGTTTTTTAACAAAAAAACCACAAAGAAAATGGACATGGATAAGTCCCAACGGTAATACAAAAAACGAAATAGATTACATCCTTACAACAGAAAAAACCATCATCAAAGATGTTACAGTACTGAACCGCTTCTCAACCGGTAGCGATCATAGACTTGTCAGAGCCAAACTCAGGATTAATAGCCAATTCGAAACAAAAAAGAAAATAGAAAATGTATCGAAACTAGATATGGAAAAACTTAAGCAATCAAAAGACGAATATAAACAAAAAATAAAAGAAGGTATACCGGTCACTAGAGATTTGGAAAACAAAAATATCGATGAAATAAATCAGCTATTAACCGATACATTAGCAAAGGCGGGAAAAGTGATAGCACAAACAAGAATAAAAAAGGAAAACTATGTATCCCAGGAAACAAAAAATCTTATGAGTAAAAGAAAAACATTACTGGAACAAGATAAGAGAAACACAGTAGATTACAAAGAGGTAAACAAAGCTATCAGAAGGAATATCAAGGATTATAAAAGGAGAGTACAGGAAGAAAAAATAGAAAAATCAATTGAACAAAATAAAAACATGAAGTGCTTAAAACCACAGCTTGGAACCATACAAATTAATAGTATAAAGAACAAAGAAGGTACAGAGACCAATAATGTAGAAGAAATTATACAGATAACACAAGAATATTACAAAAACCTCTACAATACAAAAAAGAAACCAACCCAAGAAATCCTTAAGCAACTACAAATAAAAATAAAAAATGTTAATTCCGACTTACAACCAGAGATCAGTAAGAACGAGATAAGAAGAGCACTCAAAGAAATGAAGAACAATAAATTGCCAGGAAAAGACGGGGTGACTGTAGAAATGCTAAAACATGGTGGGAAAACAACTAGAGAAGTTTTGTACATACTTATGAATAAAATTTTATTGACAAAACAAATACCCAACAGTTGGAACGAAGCAATAACACTGTTACTATTTAAGAAAGGAGATAAAAAGGATCTAAAGAATTACAGACCCATAACTTTATTAAATATGATGTACAAACTATTAACTAAAATATTAACAAATAGATAAACAACTAAATTAGATGGATACCAGGCAAGAGAACAAGCCGGATTTAGAAAGAGCTTCAGTACAAGTGACCACCTTTTAACGATGAAGATTTTAATCGAAAAAACTAACGAATATCATATCCCGCTATACATGGCATTTATTGACTTTGAGAAGGCATTTGATAGTGTGGAACACTGGGCAGTACAGAATTCCCTACAAAACAGCAGAATAGACTACCGATATACCGACTTAATTACAAATATATACAACAAGGCAACAACAACTATTAAGCTAATGAAACAAACGGAGCCTATTAAAATAAACCAAGGAGTAAGACTTGTGGATTATGAGAAAGCATTCGACACAGTAAACCACCAGAAAATGCTAGAAGCTTTAAAAGAGTGCCGAATAGATCACCGCTACACCACTGTCATCAAAAATATCTATGATAATGCCACGGCATGCGTCAGACTCCATGAAGATACACACAAGTTCAAAATTCATCGCGGAGTTCGCCAGGGCGACACCATTTCGCCAAAACTGTTTACAACATTATTGGAATACATGTGTAAGCGTGCAAACCTAGACGAAAAGGGCATAAACATAAATGGAGAGCAGCTTAGTCACCTCAGGTTCGCGGACGATATAGTCCTGATAACAGACCGCATAGATCATGCCATCGAAATGTGCGAAAGACTCTACCATGCCTCTACACAAGTGGGTTTAAAGATCAATAACTCAAAAACACAAGTGATGACAAACCTTGTTCTGAGTGAGAACATCAACATAGCTGGAACAAGTATAGAACAAACATCAGCATACAAATATCTGGGACACGAAATTCGCTTAAGTAGAGATAACCAGACCAATGAACTAATACGTAGAATAGGGTTGACATGGGCAGCTTATGGAAAGCTAAGAGATGTTTTCCAATCAGCCCTTCCCATCTGCTTGAAGAGAAAAGTCTTCGATCAATGTGTGCTGCCAGTTCTAACCTATGGTGCGGAGACGCTAACACTTACTAAGACGTCCGCAAACAAAATTCGAACAACACAGAGGGCAATGGAACGGTCCATGTTGGGATTAACCCTGAGAGACCGAATACCCAACACAGAATTGCGCCGTAGATCGGGAGTAACCGACGCAATCAAAAGAATATCAACCTTAAAATGGAACTGGGCAGGGCACGTCGCGAGAACGAAGGACGGCAGATGGACAAAACGCATTCTTGAGTGGAGACCCAGACAAGATGCCTTTAGAAATAGAGGACGACCACCAACAAGATGGACGGATGACCTGAAACGGACACATCAAAATTGGATGCAGGCGGCTCAGGACAGAAATTTGTGGAATGAACTACGGGAGGCCTATGTTCAGCAGTGGACGAGTATGGGCTGAATGATGATAAAGACAAGGAGATACCATATCGCCCAAGTTATTTAACCAAGCGCTAGAAGATGTTTTTAAACGACTACACTGGGATGACTTGGGAATTAATATAAACGGGCAAAATCTGAATCATTTACGATATGCTGATTATATTGTATTAATAACAGAAAAAAGTGAAGAATTACAAAGAATGATGGAAGAACTAGATAGAGAATCGACAAAAATTGGACTCAAGATGAATTATAGTAAAACAAAAACCATGACTAATCAACCAGAAGAACTTATGATTACAGTGGCACAAACAAAAATAGAACAAGTAAAAGAGTATATATATCTAGGCCAAATCACTAAATTAAATAAAGAAAATCACACCGAAGAAATAAAGAGAAGAATAAGATTGGCCTGGGCATCATTCGGAAAACTGTCTTATATTCTAAAGAATTCAAAATACCCCCAATACTTAAAAACGAGAGTCTTCAATCAATGTATACTCCCTGTCCTCACATATGACTCTCAGACATGGACGTTTACAAAGGAAAATATGGAAAAAATAGCAAAGACAGAAAGATCCATGGAAAGACAAATGCTGAACATTAAACTATCAGACAAAATAAGAAACGAATGGATCCGTAATAAAACAAAAGTGAAAGATGTCTCAACCCAAGTAGCAAAGCTTAAATGGAAGTTCGCCGGACACACCCTAAGGCAGAAAGATGAAAGATGGACTAAAACAATTATACATTGGAGACCATGGAATCACAAACGTAAAAGGGGAAGGCCACAAATGCGATGGTCAGATGACCTGAAGAAACACGCAGGGTCAAAATGGATGCAAATTGCCCAAGATAGAGAGGCATGGAAGAAGGAGGAGGAGGCCTATATCCAAGGATGGATTTTAAGGGCTGTATAGATAGAAACATGTTAAGTATAGCCAGTAAGCTTTTACTTATACAGATCGTTGCAAATTTGAAACTAACTCCACTTATATTGATAACATATTACCCCTAAATAGAAAATAAAACATTCAGAAGTATGTAATATTGGAGAAGTGGTATAATGCTTGTTAGATAAATTCTTTCTTTTTTTGTGCACTACTACCCATTTTTACACAAAAATATCTATTTTAGCACTTAAATATTTATTTTGAGATAACCTTTTATCCAAACTTATATGTAGTACATAGATAAAACCAGAAATAAAATAATAAAAAAGCTGTATACAAGATATCATAAAACAATGGATGAAATAAAAGAAGTTCTTATTAATCGAATTCTTAAATAAAACTTATGAAGACATATTCACGTTAACAAAATACATTAGGAAATTTCCGCATATGAAACAAAATCCAATTTGGTAATGAAATCCTTTTGTATCTATAAAGCTATTTTTAGAGAACTCGTACCTACCAAAAACAGGTAGTTAATAGTATACATTGTTACACACTGTAATGCGTATGAATGATAACAAAACTAAGGAGTCCATATAAACCGTCCAGACTTTACGCGAGAATTATACATCTTATAGCAGAGTTGCCAAACTATCAGAGCTTACTTAAACCGATATACATATGGTTCCAATATACAGTGAAAAAGATCTGAACGACCCCTATAATATATACACGTGAACTAAGCGATATACATTTATGATACAGGGATAATTATGGGCTCCAAAATTTTTTTAAAAATTATGAAACTATACATGTTGACGAATCGACAGAGCCAATATTATGGAATGGTCAAGTGAGCTCCGTATATCGGTGTCCACTTGACCACGGAGCTCACCTGAACCTGAATTTTAACATGGGCGGAGTCCACTTTATGCCGTAAATATATATATATATATATATATGCTAAGAAGAATGGGTACTGACAGAGAACTCCTAAATATTGTAAAAAACCGAAAAACGAGTTATTTAGGACATATCTACAGAGGAGAAAAATACAACTTCCTACGACTTATAATGGAAGGGAAAGTGGAAGGAAGAAGAGGTCCAGGAAGAAGAAAATGCTCCTGGTTGAAGAACATAAGAGACTGGACAGGCATGGACACACATGCGATACTAAGAACAGCTCAAGATAGAGAGCAATTTGCTGTAGTTATAGCCAATCTTCAGTAATGGAGAAGGCACCTTAAGAAGAAGAATATATATATATATATAAATATATAAAAATTGGGTATTGTAATAAATATATATATATATATATATATATATATATATATATATATATATATATATATATATATATATATATATATATATTTATTACAATACCCAATTTTTTTTGTTAAATTCAATATCAAAAAGAAGTATTCTTACAACTAAAGTCTTTGGTATAACAAGTCTATTGCAAAAAGTCAAGGTTTTCGGTCAAGTTTCTCATTTATAATCAAGTAGCCATTATGATAATTATTTCCAATTAATTACCTTAAGTTTTTAGGCAGTTGACTGTATCACAGGAAAACTAAACACTAACTGATTCTCTTGATTTGTTTATTCAATATTATTAATATCTATTCCCCACCCAGCGTACGCTTTGTTTTCTTATTAATTCATTATTTTCTTTGAAGAAAGATGTGCGTGGGATTTGTGACGCAACACACTTGGCATGTAAATTAATTGACTGAATTGTGCTTATTTGGTGATTTCTTGGTAACATATTTTAATCTTATTATTTTAGTATACTAAATACTACAGACAGATACCGGATCTATAACAACTAAAGCTTTTCTCAAAAATGTCGATAAAATTATGTTTAAAAAACTGATTTAAATAAATTGTTGTTGATTTATGGCTACCAGTTTTAAAATTAAATCATTTTTGACATAAAATTGCTGGCCTGATTTACTCTACTGAAATATGTCCCACAAATCTTGTTACGTATCTGGATGTGGTAGATAGTACCGCTTTATTATCGATTTATTTGTAACAGGATATGTATTGTTCTCTGTAAATAAGGTGAAAATCTCGGGTCGCTGGAAAAAATATTTCCATAAGATATTTTTTCATAATAACTGTAGTGAGATACCACAAATAAGGCTCAAGAGGTCGTTTATGTGCAAATGGTCTTAATTTATTTAAACAAATTTTTTAAAGAAATTGTAAAAATAAAATTATCAAAAAATGTGTTAGATCATTCTGAACAAAAACAGCTGCCTTTTTTCTCAATCGTTTTCAAGTCAATCGTTTTTGTAGTTATAAACAATTAAAACTGAAAAACGACTAATTCCCATTTTCGGAGCTCAAAAACGATATCTAGATGAAAATTTTGGGCTTACTGAGCGCCCCTGGACAAGGCGGGCGCTCGGTTTGCAGAGTTTATACTAGTCCGGCAGCAGGGTACCTTTCTATATGCATGGAAGGGTGCATAGTTGAAGTTTATTTAAACTTTGTGCTCAATATATTTGCTGAATACGCTGAATTTCTTTTTCTTTAGAAGCTGCACAGACATAAAAAGTTTGAACCTATTTCGATAATTTACTATTAAAAAAAAAGGAAAACAACTTTATTTTTCATTGAATTAACAAGTACTAAATAACAATTTTTTCGACGTTGCAGAATCACAAGTACATAGCGGGCTAGTACATGATGACATTATGTCTGCTAAATAGTAGCTATTTTAAAATTTAATTAATTGCTCCATACAGGCGGATGTCGATAATACGTACTAGCCTGGTTTGTGCTTTTGATTCTAAAGGACGAAAATATTTATTTATTGTTTGTTAACTCAATAAAAAAGAAAATTTCTTCCAGTTTTTTCAATAGTAAATTTTAAAAATAGGTTCAAACTTTCTATTTATGTGCAGCTTTTAGTCAAATATGAACCAAGTAAAAATATTAAAATTTGAAAATTATTTATAAAAAAATTGTTTATAAAATTGGTACCACTTTTTGAGATAAAGGACCTTTGTATTCGTATTCAGCGAAAAACATTTGCTAGTTTGAAGTAGCATTATAAAAATAGGTACAAATAAGTACAAATATTTCAATTTGGACATAGTGCCCAAAAATTGGTTTTTATAATTCCTTTCTAAAAAAAAAAGGTAGAAGTAAATAAATTAGGATCACTTTGCATAAATGACTTATTGAATCTTATTATGAAGTATCTCAAGAAAGTGATTCTGCAAAAATATCTCGCAGGAATATTTTTTGTCAACTAGGAGGTTTTTATTAAACAGTAGGATACCGGCTAAACAGCATCAGATATGCAGATGGCACCATAGTATTTGCGGACAACCTAGAAGACCTACAAGTCTTTATGACCAAATGCTCATGATAATTAGTAAAAAAAAAGATAAACAGAAGTTCAACTCTACGTCAATAAAACCATGTTAAAAACAGTGATACTTACACTAGAACTATGTCTGCACCATAGTAAATAAAAAAAGGACCAATAACCAGGAGATAAGAGCGCGTATGGGAAAAGCTAGATTCACCTTCAAGCGGATGGAGACCTTCTTTAAGAGCCACAACCCCCCTCTTGGTATAAAAGTAAGAATGATGCAATGCTGCGTCTTCTCTTTCTTTTTTTAAATGAATGTTATACTTAAATCATGGACCTTGAACAAAGATATATACAGAAGACTAAAAGCATTTGCAATGTGGCAATATAGGAGAATACTCAAGATTCCGTAGACTAACCGAGCCTCAAATGAGAAGATAACCAGAAAAATGAAGAAGAACCGAGAGAAACTGACTACCATCAATAAAATCTCGAAAGTTATAATGCTTCGGACACGTTATGCAAAATTAATCCAAATATATCATGCTACGATACATCCTGCAAGGAAAAATATTTAAAGTGGGGTCCAGGAAGAAGAAGAACATCCTCGTTAAAGAGCCTCAGAAATTGGTTCAACGCAACATCTGTGCAGATTTTCCGCGCTGCTGCACACCAGATAAAGATAGCCAGATGCCACTTAAATAAGCAATGTTTTTTCTACGAGTACTAAGTCTTAATTCCTACGAAATTATGTTGTGGTACTTGTCATTTGATGAGCACATATAATTTGCAACATAGTTTCTAATACCGGCGTTGTATTACTTTTTTCTCTATAGTAAAATGATGAAGCGAGCGTCACGGAACTAGCTCCATAAAAAGGTGTTACAGGTATGGACACGAAATAGCGGTTCTTCACATCGACTCACTACTCTCTATCAATTCGTTTCTAGTCATCATATATTTATTTCAAGCAGCTTTAAGTTAAAAACTGTATGAAAAATAACTACTAAAATACAGACATTAAATGAGAAGTAAAAAATTAAAACAATATCTGTCAATAATATAATATGATTTCTTCTTCTTCAAGTGCCATCTTCGTTCCGAAGGTTGGCGATCATCAGGGCTATACGTATTTTCGAAACTGCTGACCGAAACAATTCGTTGTTGCTACAACTATACCATTCCCGTAGATTCTTTAGCCAGGAGTTTCGTCTTCTTCCTATGGACCTTTTTCCTGCTATTTTCCCTTGCATAATTATTCGAAGCAGTTCATATCTTTCGCCTCTTGTAATGTGGCCCAAGTATTGCAGTTTTCGTTTTTTGATTGTAAATATGACTTCCTTTTCTTTGTTCATTCTTCTCAAGACCTCGACATTTGTGACTCTCTCGGTCCATGATATTCTCAGGATTCTGCGATACATCCACAGTTCAAATGCCTCTAATTTTTTGGTATCAATCTTTTTTAACGTCCATGACTCCATTCCGTAAAACAGCACAGAAAGTACGTAACATCTCATCAGGCGAAGTTTCATTTCAAGGCTCAAATCTCTTCCGCAGAACACTCTCTTCATTTTAGTGAATATGGATCTGGCTTTTTCTATTCTTATTTTGATTTCCGCTGAGCTATCGTTGTCTTCATTTATAAAAGTGCCTAAATATTTGTATTTGCTAACTCGATCGATAATTTCATTGTGTAAATATAAATTTTGGACATTTTGTGTTGATTTCGATATTACCATAAATTTCGTTTTCTTTATGTTCAAAGATAGTCCATATTCTTCGCTGCAGTCTGCTATCTTATTCACCAATGTCTGTAGCTCTTCAAGTGTTTCTGCGATCAGAACGGTGTCGTCGGCAAATCTCAGATTGTTTAATCTAACACCATTTATTTTAATACCTACGGATTGCTCAGAGAGTGTTCTATTCATTACGTCTTCGGAATAGAGATTAAACAGGGTTGGTGACAGTATACACCCTTGTCTCACACCTCGCTTTATTTCAATTTCTTCAGTGGTATTATTCTCTACTCTCACTACTGCTTTCTGATTGTAGTACATATTTGCTATTAGTCGGATGTCTCGTTTATCTAAATTCTTTTCTGTCAGGAGTCTGATTAGGTGATCATGCCGCACTTTATCAAAGGCCTTGTTGTAATCTATGAAACACATGAATACATCTTGATTTATGTCAAGACATCTTTGAGACATAACGTTCAGTGCAAACAACGCCTCTCTTGTTCCGAGTCCATTTCGGAATCCAAACTGGGTATTATTGATGTCCAGTTCCAGTTTTGTGTGTACTCTAGAGTGTATAATTTTCAGGAATATTTTCAGTACATGGCTCATCAGACTGATTGTACGGTAATCACTACATTGTTTGGCATTTATCTTTTTTGGTATAATAACAAAGGTGGATAAAAGCCATTCTTGTGGTATTTTTCCTGATGTATAAATGCTATTGAAAAGTTCAACTAAAATGCGAATCGAGTCTTTTTCTATTAGTTTAAGGATTTCCGTTGGTATTTCATCTGGACCTGGGGCTTTACCATTTTTCATTCTTTTTAGTGCGTACATTACTTCCTCTTCCGTTATTTCTGGACCTTCGTCTCCTTGTATGTTACTTAGCTCAGATTGCTGTCTATCATCTGCAAAGAGTTCTTCAATATAGTTTTTCCATGTCTTCAACTGTTCTTCTAGTTCTGTTATTATGTTTCCGTTGACATTATACAGGGTATTTGGCTGCTTACGTTTTTGTGTACCTGCAAGTTCTTTCACTTTTTTATGTACATTAAAAATATCATGTTTTGCCTGCAATTGCTCTATTTCTTCACATTTTCTTTTATAAAAATCTTCTTTTGCTATTCTGATTTCTATTTTAATTTCTTTCTGTAGTTGTTTATACCTTTGTTCGTTTTTTCCTTTCATTATTCTCCGGTTGTCCATGAGAAGAAGGATCTTATCAGTCATCCAACTTTGCTTTATTTTTGGTTTTTCTTTAGTCAAAATTTTCTTCGCAGGGCCTGTTATTGCCATTTTTACGTTTTGCCATTTTTTATCTATGTTGTTCGTTGGCTGGGATGTTTCCTTTTCATGAAGTATTTTCAAATTATTATTAATACATTTTTGCAGTTTCTCCTTTACCTCCAGGTTACATAAATGACTGACGTCTATCTGATTTGTTCTTCTTTTCTGCTCCAATCTTTTTAGTTTAATATTCATTTGCGCTATTAGAGGGTTATGGTCTGAAAAGACATCTGCGCCTGGGTAAGCTTTAACGGATTTTAAGGAG